TGTGTAAAGTATTGATGAACGCTGAGAGCTGAGCTCATCCGCGCATCAATTTGGTTTGCACGGGATACTCACCAGAATCCAAGCTGAATTACTCGTTTATACTGTTCTTCTTTAGCTGACTGTGATGCACTGGAACGCCTCACATCCAGGTTACCGCGAAATTTGAGATATCGCTTTGCGTTTAATGGACGTCACCCACTACTCATGAGGTTACTGAAACCATTTTAGCAAACTGCTATTTTTGCGGGAGATTTAAAACCTAACGTTATTGAACTTAACCCAGATCTCATGATCATACTCTACTAGTGGCGAATTACAGAATGTATAATTTCATATTCCAGCGCTTACGCTTTACTTTTCAAAACATATATTGACCTTGTACCTTCTGGACACAAAAAATGTAAAGAAACGCTGAGAATTAATCTTCAAATATCGTTGAGTGGACTGAAGAATTACCTGGGATAAAATGCCCTCACCCAAAAGAAGCAGAGGGCACGACAGGCTCACTAGTGATTAGTCTTGGCATCCAATGGAAACACAATACGTATCGTTTATTCAGCGTTTATCGATTCGAACTTTGAACTTCAAAACCTTATACATCCTCTTCTACTCATGAAAAGTATGTAGTCTCATATTCATAAATATAATAATCGTTCAGCTGCAACACTTCTTCGGTGCCTAGCTTCCGTGCCACCCGGTGGAAGCACGAGCGCTGACATACTGCCAGGTCGCCTTAGGCTAGACAGGGAAGTCGAGAGGCAGAGGTCGGGTTCGAACAACGAATCTTCCGGCTAGTAAGTTCGCTCTTTCACCACTGAGCCATCTCATATGAAACGAGAATCACACAGAGTTCCTGTTTAAGCGCGTGGTAATCAGATGATGGATGGAAAATTCACTAAATTTCAAATCTGTTCATCCAGCAATGTGTTAAAACAAGTTTGAATATTTTCAAACAACAGCTTTCCTACCACATGAGTTATTTCACAGTTTGAGTATTCACCAGGAACAGCCCATCTCTCTTGTTATCGGGTAAGGTTCTGAGTTTCATTCAAAGAGATCAGCTACCCTTCTAGAATCATACGACGTAGTTTTGAGATCAAACAATTCCTGTTTGTACTGTCAGACCAAAGCGTAAAATTTAGGGAAAAGTTCTATTAGTTTTTTTGAGAAATTTTTGAAAGAAATTCTACAGGTAGATGTCTATTCCGGTTAGTTCATCGCGAGTGGATCAATCGGGTGAACGGTGCATCAGACAAGCGTAACAGGTGCCATCGAATGCCTCATATATTGCTCCTGAGATTACCGGAAGATCCTGACGAGGACCGCACGCAGACAAAAGGAGCCTCGGTGGAACCGAATCGTCAGACGGCTAATCTTTTTTACGTAGCATTCCACTAATATTACTTTGCCCTTCCACCTAGGGTGTGAGTGAGTTTTCTGTTGACCAAGCTTCGGTGCAAACAGTGTCATGTGAAGGGGGAGCAAACGTCAGTCAAGCTCATAGTCGATCCATTTGGTGTTAGGTAGTTTTCATCATCTAGTTACACTAGGGTTTGTAAGTATTATCAATAAAACATACTAGAATATATATATATTACAGATATATAGTACACAATAATATAACAACAACAATACAATATAGTATAATGTAAAATAACAATACAAAATATTGAAATATATTTTCACCCTTTTGCAATAATAAAACACGAGTTGAGGTAATACAACTCGGCCTAGTGTTAGAGTGTGCCCGGTTCAGATATCTATGTGCCCCGTATGTGCAGGAGTGGACAACCTCTACGAAGAGGTCACATCTCTGGTTTTCGTTCTACCTCGGGTTTGTTTCAGTAAACTTGCTCTTGTTTGCTAACCGTTTCCAAGAGATTTCAGGGTTCCGGTACAAGAAACGAAGAAGATGGCCTAATAAGCAACACTGACAGACATTTCAGCGTTGGAAGGTCGGTAGGCGCTAACCCACGACTTTCCGTTAATCGTCGAAGGGCCTATCTATAGGTTATTATTTTTGGCTAATATTTAATATTATGTTTATATTTATTTATTTATATTTGTATTATATATATTATTTATATTTAATGTTTTTGGAAACGCAGCGCCGCCGTAGGCATTCAACTCATCTAAACTTTCCCAATTGAAAATATTTAAAACGTGGAACGAAAGAATCTAGGTTTGGCAATAGTGAACAAACGCCCGGTGCTTGAGTGTAGTGAAGAACGTTTTTTGTGTATGATTTTTTCTCGTTCACACTGGGAGCAGCGTCCACGATAGTCAAGAAAAGATACAGAGTAACACCACAGCACTCAATAACCAGCACACGAAAACAGACGGGTGGTTTAGACGTATTACACTACTCATACAGTTGCTGAAAAATCTTAGACAGTTTATGACCGGTTGTGCCCATACTGGGGCTTACCAGGTGAGTGCAGACTCAGAGTTTCCGTCAAACTTACATTCTACTTGGGGGCAGATTGTACGAAATTGGCAAAATACACTCATTAGCCAAAGCAAATTTGGTCTTGCTAGAGATTCACCTGGAGCCCAGCTGAATCTCCGTTTGTATGATGCCCTAAGCAACTGAATGTGCTGCACCAGGCCACCTCATGTTTCAGTTGGAACAATATTCGAGATATCGCGATACATGTATAGACGTATTACACTACTCACCGGGTTTCGGAAACGTCATAAACCAGAGATTCAGCTAGGTTCCAGGTGTGTCTCTCGCAAGACCAAATTTGCCTGCAAATGGATGTTTATTGAACAAGGAGGAATTCCACCGGTTCTTGATAGTTAAGATATCTAGGTGGATATTTACTGTGACGTAGTGAAATCATTTTTTTCGTTTTCAGGGCAAATGTATCAGCATATTTTGGATCTGTTTACGCAAATTAATCTTTGCACCTACTACTTAGAAGCGCGAGTAGTACATTGACTCAAAGCAATATCTTCACTAGAGTATGTCTGCTTGTTCCGTCATTCGGGGTTTAGGTACAAGTGACTTGGTGTATGCGTTCACCGTTGTGAGGCAGTGTCCTGAAGACTACCGGCGCTTGGAATTCATAGTGCATCAAACTGAGCTCCGTGTGGCTGCAACCAGGAAAATTGATTGATGGGAGAGTTGGCCGCCATTGAAAGAGTAGGTTGAAGACGTATTTTCCTAAGCTTTTGAGTCTGGGCGATACAAAGCGGTTGATGTGGTAAACAGAATGGAGGCTTTTGTAAGCTCCGCAGGCCTGTAAAGTCTTCTGCAACGTAGCTTCCCTACCAACCAACCGTTCATGGTGTTTTGAGTGAACGGCAGTCTCTGCTTGATTACTTGAAACACTGTTAATTTTGTCTTGGAAAGCTGGATAGACTATCACTGGTGAATGTTGATATCCGACACTTGAGATTCATTTTTTACGACAAGCAGTTTCTGTTGTTTTTCCCTGAATTTTGAATAGCCTACAAAAAGTGGTAAACAATCTAGGAGAGACTGAAAACAAAAGACTGGTGACGTCGAGTGATTTGCTCTAGAGCTGACGAGCTGTAGGCACACCAATGTACAGCAGTTTGTCAAGGTCAATCAGTCCATAGATGGGCACAGTTCACGAGATTTTTCGTACAACACAGTCGATTCAAAACTCTAATCCATGCGTTTACTTACCTACTTCGTTGGCCTCCATCATCTCTAACCGTCAGTGGTATCCACACCGTTTATTTAACTACGATACTGTAGGAAACAGCTAGATGTGAGGTTCACAGATCAAGTGGTAATTCACGTGATTTCGCTATATATATGTATATATCGGCTCTAAGCATACAAAGTATACACCTCGAAATTAACATTGTTTACTAGAATAACCGTTTTCTTCCGGTGTGGGGTTTGCTTGTCATATCCCAAGATGTTCATATGGGATAAGTCCTTCTGTGACAGATCTTTCGACAATTTCCGTTGACAAGCAGATTTTCAACCTCCATCTGAAATTCTCAAGCAATCTGTTAAAGTACTGCACATGCAACTAGCGAATTTATCACCTTCTCGTTCAGCTTTCAACCAGTGACAGTCAACCCGGACTGTCTTTCTTGCTATTATTTTCTAGAACAAGACAGAATAGTTTCGCGCTCGTTCCATTGCGTGACAAGATGAAATTTGAGCATACTGGACTTTTGTCATCCGAAAAAGGTCAAATATGTATTGTACTAGGCAGCAAACCGACAAGATCATCTGTTTGCACCCAAAAAGTTGATAAACAACTGTCATCTGGTGAAGCCAGAAATCATCAAGAAAAAATGCCAATTTTTTTTATTCGCAAGCCGAATAGAGAAGTTCGGTTATCGACTCAGACCCAACAAAGAGAGTGAAAAATCAGTCGAGTGCATTCTAAAATGTGTTGGTAGCGTTGAGAGATTTTGGAAAGTTTTGATGAAGATCTCGTTTGGTAGATGAAGATGGTCTGTGGTGAAAAGCCTAGAAGCATTGTTCAGCTGTTTTGCCGATAATCTGAATCACCAGAAGTACACCTCTTATAGTCGCCAACTTTCTGAATTTCGTTCACACTGCGGATGCCCCAAGGTAATGATATTTTTCAGCTGTAACACCCTGCCATGCTATCCAAAATAGGCACGACGGCTGAAATACTGCCAGACTGCCCAAGCCTAGACAGGAGAAGTCGGGAGGCAGAGGTCGGATTCGAACCACGGACGAACGTTCCGGTCAGTGAATTCGTGCTGTAACCGCCAAGCTATCTCGCCCCTCCAAAATAATGATAGAACGGGTCTAAAGTGCTTCTCACCCCTTTGAAACTGATCAGCTCCACTTACTGGTCAAAACGGAGAACAGCAAGGCATGTTTTAGAACTCAATGTTTAGAAGAAAAGGAGTTGATAGTGGAACACTGTGTTCCAACCTGGTGTCTTGTTTGTACAGTTGATGCGTATAGATATAACATGTCATAATAACTCAGCTGGTCAGAACAGAACTATAGTCTTCCCCACTTTCTGACTTACATAACTGAGGAAAGAACGAAGCGAATTGCGTTTTTCGAGTCGTGCATAAACCTCAGAATACTTTTGTTCACTCTTTAGATAATCTGCATTCGATAATAGTTTGAAAGCCACATCTATCAAAATTGTAATAGATGATATGAACTTGGGTGAATCCCTTGTGCCTCTGAAGCGAAAATTCTGGAAGACCTTTGAATGGTGTTCCTTATATGGGACCAAGCCGCGAGCAAACGAAGCCGGGGAAATGAGTTGGGTGCGTGACCTGAAAAAAAACACAGTGAAAAATGGTTGTTTTGAGAAGTGAACAAAGTCTTGGAAGACTCATGTTTTTGTGTAATTCACGTTAGCCACGTTGTTGCCATCATAGTGTTGTTGGTCTGTTATTCCAAATAGGAAAGAAACGTTGGCTTTACGCGAAAGTTGAGTTGGGTTATCCTGCTCGTCAGAGCAACAGATGGGTCACTGGTGCTATTCGACCCAGTACGGCTAGGTGAGACTTGCTTAGGTTGTAGGAAATTGAATGACAGTGAGCATCTACGTGAATGAATCCAAAAAAAGTGCAGGCACACAATCTCTCTTTGTCTGAGATCACCAGACGGGCATAATGAGTTGGAAATTTGAACTGAGGACTACAGATCTTCACACTGTGGGACGACAGTTGGTAGCGTGAAAAGATCATCGATGGAGATTTCGTTTTGTGAATGATCATCATCATCATCATCATCATCATCCATCACAGCAACATCAGTGTTGGCACTGAGCTTCACTGCCGTACCCTTTGAATGAAGCGAATCTGTGCTGAATAGCCGAGAAGAACTGTGCAACTGTTTCATCCTTATTGGCGCATCTCGTGAAACTCTCGAACCCGCCAGTAGTTTGAACAATTCCAGCTGAAAAAAAGACAAGTACTGCACAGCTCTCTTGTCCCCAGTTGAAACCATTAGCAGTGCACGTCTTTATGCACTGTCTATTCAGTTTACAAAACTGAATAGCCATCTTCTCCTGGAACGCGTCTTCCTGAACTTTCCTGGATATTCATTGACTGTTGCTCAAATGCAAGCAAATGCTACAAAGCGACTCCACAAATTCCGTAATAGATATCGCCTTTCAAGAGACGCGAAGCGGATTTACAAAAGACACTACTCGCATTCCCCACATCAGTAGTATCCACCGTTACACTGGTATTCCCGGAACCATCGACTCAGTACCATATCAGTCACATCAAGCCATCTGCTAATAACCGGAATAATCTTTTGCTCATGGCTCGTTCCTATTAGTCCAACCTCTTACAGTGACAATGTGATCGGGCGGGTGAAATTTTGTTCGCGATACACGCTGCTTTATCGTTCGAACGATGTTGTAATGATAATATATGATTTATTGCTTCCCCAATTAAGGATAGACAAAATTCCGCTCACCTCCGTTTTCAAAAATGTTTCACAAATATTAAAATTTATAGTCGTGTCAAACTTGCTGGAACAGTCGAATAGAGCACTTTATCTCAAAATGTTTTTCCTCAAAGATGGTTTTTGTAGCTAGCTGATGGACCCAACACATACTCAGAGCCGTAATAGATAGAAACAAACGCGCTTGTATAAAGTGTGCCCCCTTCTATCGAACATTGTAGTGTGTGAAATGCATTGGACCACTCGGGAGATTTTCAACTCGCAAATTTGTTCACACACTCACTGGCAATATCGGCGGTGATCTGTGGAAAATTTCCGTCCGAACTCTCTGCATCTTCCAGACGTTTGGGATTTTACGGAATTCCGTCGGATTTCGGTCACCAAATCCACGAAAAAGTTCGTGTGGATTTTTCCGCACTTTTCCAAGTCAATCAATATTCCTACAGAAATTTAGTGGTGACCTAGATTTCGCGGATCGACGGAGTGCATAACCTGGTTCCTTCTTTCTAGACTTGATGTGTCTACAGTTTGTTGTTTCGTGTTCTCGAGAGGACGCACATGACCGACTAGTTCGAATACGCCACGTGATTAGTTTCGAAGTGTACTGAAGCCAGCGCATTTCCTTCCCGTTGAAGCGATTTCATGCATCATTGCAATAGCCACTTTTGGGTCGGGTAGCACGCAGTTGTCGGATCAACCGAAATCAAGCACTTTACTGGACTCACAGTGATTGCGAGTGAAGCTTTTCTACCCCTGGTTACAAAGGGCAACTAAATTAAAGAAACTTCCACATTAATTACTGCATCAGTTTTGCTTTTTTCTCCGTGCATTTCTCCAAAGTTCTGCTTGGAGTCGTCGGTTTCCATAGGTCGAAAATGTGATGAAGTTGAAAGAAAATGGGACAAGTAAGTTTAGGTTATTTATGAGAACAAGCGGTGCAACGGTCTATCATCATCATCATCATCATCATCATCATCATCATCATCATCATCATCATCATCATCATCATCATCATCATCATCATCATCATCATCATAATCATCATCATCATCAGCGACAGCAGCATTATCTGAAAGGGAAACCCCAGTGCTGACGTTGGTACATCACTTCCAATGCGTGGAGGCCTGATTCTGGCCTACCACAAGCATTCTGAGGTCGGCATCTTGGAAAAGAAACCAACAGCCACTGACATGGATCAACCGCCAATTCTTGCAATGTCTACAGACAAACGTAGAGGGGTAACACGGAATCCGTCCACAAGATGGGCCGGACCAAGGACACCTAAACCCTTTGAAATCTCAATCTCGCAGTATGCATCACTCTGAAATAGGTGCTCACTGTTGATGACTGGCTTCAATAACAGGATGAAATCTCCTTAGAAATTATATGTTCTCTCCCTACCTACCTACTTGGACCCAGTACCGTCATTTTGGAAGCTGTTGCAAGTAGGGCGTCACGTGCATACCCACTTTATGTTAAATGATGCGAACGTCAACTAAAAGTGCAAAAACCTGCGGTCTAATTTTGCGGATCAACTTCTTATACTAAGCTTACACCATAAACGAAGTAACGGCACGTGTAAAGTGGAATCTTAACGTTCGGCAGGGTCATTGGAGGTCATTCGAATGGGTACACTTTTTTGAGCATTTTTTTCTCCGTCGTATTCATCCTGACGTAGCCTTAATACTTTGGCATCAAATACCATAGTCTATAGACAACACATTCAGTTGCCTGAGACCATCACAAACGAGAGATTTAGCTGATTTCCAGGTTAGTCTCTCGAAAAAACAAATTAGTTTGCAAATGAGTGTACATTCGCTAATTTCGTGCAATTCGGTTTCGAGTAGAACATAAGTTTGACGGAAACCCGGGGACTGCGCCTACCTGATGAGCCCCAAAAAGGGCGAAGCCGGTCGTGGACTGTCGACGGATTTTCAGCAACCTTACGAGTAGTGCATTATAAAGATATCGTAGTCTATACTTTATTTCGTATGCAACCATACAAAATGCACCTTGTCAGTGGACTCACTCCTCATCGCTGAACCCTGAATGCGTGCACTGGGTCTACCTTGAAAAAGTGATGAAAAGACAGAGAGTCATTTGGGTTTTTTTTCTCGAATTTCCCTTTTTATTCCTTCATTTAATTGCAAAAAACGGAAATCGTGTTTCTGTCCATTCTTTCTATTCAGATATGGGTTGTTTTTGGAGGCATCTGTTTTCCAATAACTCTCCCAACAGCTGACGTTTTTCTCAGGATAGTTTTTGTTTCGTTTTACGAAAAGAAAACAAAGCACGTGGTGTGTTGTGAACGTGTTTTTACAGAGATGGAATTCTTATCAACCATGTGTCAGAGTGATTCTGAAGGTAATTGAAAAATTAAAGGCATCGGAAGGGTGATACATACAAGCTGAGATGTCCGTAAACAATGTTTTCTGACCTGTACTTGGTGGAGATGAGTTAGTGTCCTAAATCGGTCAATTTCTAACTATTTCTTCACAAGTGCTGTTTGATTGTGAATCAAATGGACCGGAATAAAAGTCGTTCATGACCGAATTGCTCCGTAATATGCCTGGCAATTAAGTTTCTGATTTATACAGACTAAATATACTACTCCTAGGATTGCGGAAAACGCTTTTACAGACCACTATCGGTTTCACCCCTTTTGAGGCCCGAAAGATTCAGCTGGGTTGCAGGTGAGCTTTCCGTGAAAACGAAAACGGTAGGCAGATGGGTGCCTAAACTGTTGTGTTCAACTAGACGAGCATCCGGAAACCGCGCCTACCTGATGATACCAAATTGAAATAATTCAGCAATCATATTAGTAGTTGCTTGAGTATCCCCAAAGTGTGAAAAAGAACACAGTGACGAACATTAATCTTTTCGAGATCTCATCATCAAACACAGCAACATCAGCGTTGCCACTGATGCTTCACTGCCGTACAACCATAAGGTTTGTCTTTTATATATATACGTATATATATATGATTGTATTAAAAGCCCTACAGTGAAGAGAAGAGAAAAAGAATGGGTGAGGGAGGGGGACCAAGTGCTGGCCTATTTCAAGCATACTGAGGTTCCTACACCTTCAACCACTCAATCAGACAATCTGAAAAGAAACTGACAGCACGAACGCCATTTCTTGCCACGTCTCTAGCCAAGCAAAGGCGGGGTCACGGGGACCACATCCTGGAAGTCGCACGACGCCAGTAACACCCAGACTCTTCCTGACCTCTTTCACGCCTGTCTGCCAAGTCATGTGTTGTCTACCTCGAGGTTTGCGCCATTCTGAAGGAGGCTTGGAGAACAACACTCGTCTAGGTAGACGATGTTTCGGCATGCGTAGCACATGACCGAGCCATCGCAGTCGATGATGCTGAATCTTTTCCTGGATTGAGATGCCTGCAGCACAACCAAATACCCGCTTTCTAATCACCTCGTTAATAACATGCTGACGCCATCCAAAACCAGTCACGCTTCTGAGGCACCTGAAGACGCCTCACATCATCTACCCGAAGAGGCCATGTCTCGCACCCATACAACAACACAGCCCTTACTGTAGCCTGGTACACACGACCCTTAAGATCCAGTGAGATGCCTTTTTGACGCCACAAGTGACGCAAATTAGCAAACGTGATTCGAGCCTTTGAGATTCTTGCACCGACTTCATCAGACACACTTCCGTCAGAGCTAATACAACTACCGAGGTATGTAAAGTTTTCCACAATCTCCAGTGGTTCTCCTTGAACTGTAAGGGATATGTTCGCAGATGGCACGTTCTGAAGCAGGACTTTGCACTTTGAAGGTGCAAGGCGCATGCCAAATGATGGTATGATGGCGGTCAGTTTATTCAACAGGGCTTGTGCTTCGCTAAGGTCTTCAAAGATGAGGGCGATGTCATCTGCGTACTCCAGATCGACAAGGCTCTCGCCAGCAACAATTTGAACACCGGGGTTTTGAAAACCGTCCAGTGTTCGCCTCATTATTTCATCGATGACGAAGTTGAACAAGAATGGGGAGAGTGGACATCCTTGTCTGACACCACTTTTTGTAGGAAAGCTTTTGGAGAGCTCACCATACACCCTCACCCGCCCAGAAGTATGTGAATATAGAGATCGGATTATGTTTACAAACTTCTGGGGCATACCCTGTTGAGCAAGTGTAGTTAACAGAACTGATCGATCAACAGAATCGAACGCACCCTTGAAGTCAAGGAATACCAGGATTGTGGGTCGTCTGTACATGTGGCGTTGCTCTAACACCTGACGGAGTGTGAAGATGTGGTCAACGCAGCCTCTACCCGGACGAAATCCCGCTTGATTCTCACGAGTCAAGACTTCGCGTGCCGCCATGAGACGACGAAGAATTAATGACGCCAGAAGCCATGTCATAACAGGCGTCAAACTAACACCTCTGTGGTTGCTACACTC